GCTGGGAGGGGAGGAGGGAAACCCGTGTCAGTGCCCGGGGGGCTCCTCGGCGCTGGAATTCAGACTGTCTCGCACCCCGGGATCCGTGGGGAGGGAGCGGTAACAGCTGCTGGGGCGGGCTGGAACTTGATATGGGTGTAAATGCTCTGGCATCCCCTGGAGCTTTGGGGAGGGGGTGACAAGGGTGGGCTCGGAGGGCTCAGCCAGCGAGCTCGGCCCCAGGGAGAGGCAGGGAGCGTCCGAGTTCATCGCCCTGTGGGGGTGAAATCAGTTAAGGGTGGTTTGCAGGAGCGCTGCCTCCCGCTGCCGCAGGTCATCAGCCACATCCCAGGGCTTTGGCCGTTCCAGAGGGACCTGCCCTGCCCTTCTTGGGGTGGAGGACAGCGGAGAAAGGTCCCGCTTGGCAAACGGGAGGGAGTGGGCTCTGAGCCTTGGGGTTTGTGGCTGACAGTGTCTCTCCTCCCACAGTACATCATCCTGTTTGTGGCCAAGGTTCTGATGGGGCAGATGCAAGAGGTGAACGATGTGCGCGAGTACGACGTGGAGGATGGCAAGAAAACCGCAACGGCCAAGAAGAAAGAGGCTGGACTCCAGCTGCCCAACGCTCTGAAAGAAGGGTACGTGGGCGGGGGGGGTTGCACATGTGCACAGCATCTGTGGGCCAGGGGAGGGGATGCTGGCAGCCCTCCCGGGGCTCTGGAGCCGCTGGCAAAGGGTTCAGCACTGGGCTGGAAAACAGAAGAGCAGCAGGATGCCTTGACGCGGAGTATAAAACATTGCCGCAAGTACCAGGAAGGGCTTTGTCTCTCCACGCCTAGGCACTGTGGTGTGTCCATCTGTCTTCCCGTCCTGTGAATCCTCACCCAGCCCTTCCCTTGCTCACCGTGTAGGACCGGCTCTTTGCTTGAGGCCGTTCTCTCTGAGCAGCATCTGCGCTTCGTGTGGTGAGCACGAAGCCCGGCAAGATGCTGGATCCCACGGAGCAGGTCTGGCTGACTGGGGACAAATTGTCTGCGTGAGCCTGTCGAGGCAGGTCTGACCTCAGTAGCGATTTGTGAAAGTAAGAGAGGGAGAGCTTGTCTGAAACCAGGACAAGAGCCTGTGCAGAGACCAAGGCTCACTGCCTGCTGTGCTCTCTTTCACAGGATGCACCTGAAGAATGGACTTGTAAAAGACAAGCGGTTGTAAGGGATGCGTGGCTGCTGCAGCCCGGGCAGCCTGGCTGGATCTGGGGACTGACCCAGGACCCTACGCTCAAACCCAGCAACTTGAAAGGCACAAGGAGAACTTCACCCCCGATACCCCTTTGTCCCCCGCCCGGAGCCGGGGAAGAGATGCCACTGACAGGATCGGGCCCCTCC